CTATAATATAATTTAAGAAAAAAAAAGATAAATAAAATAGTTATTTATTTTATGACTTTTATATAGTATTTACTTATTATTTGATTTCTTAAATAAAATATCAAAAGAAATACAATACTAATTTGTGTAAGTTTATATATTTATCTCAAAATTATATTTAATAATAGTAAATTAAATTTTATTAAATAAAACTGGTACTATTAATATATCATATTTATTAATTTTATTTAAATTTTGTTAGCTACTTATAAATATATTATGATTTAATGATTTTTAATTTTGTGTTATATTACTTTTGATCATTACTATAAATTATACTAGAGAAATAGGAATGTTTTCTGAATTCTTAGTTTCAGAATAATATCTGTCAATATTACTATTATCAGAAGAGATTTTTGATTGAAAGATAAAGTTTTAATGAATGAATTATTAGTAGAATTATTAATTAAATCAAGTTATTCTTTTTAAATATTAATATGATCAAAAATAAAGGTATTTACTAGTTATACTATTCTTTATTTTAGTTGGCTAATATAAATTTTACTAAGATCAAGTTAAAGTAATTCATGAAATAATAGATAAGTAATTTGATTAATTGATACTGCTTTAATATTTTCTATGAGTAGATAAAATATATAAAATTATATAATAATTTGAAGTTAAAAGAGATGATAATGAGAGCAAAAGTCTTAAATAGGTATTTTAATAGTGAAATTAGGATCTTTGTGTGCTTCAAAATAATAATTAATAGATAATTCAACAAAAAAATAATAGTTAGTTATAAAAACTCAAGATATAAATATTTATTAATTATAAATAATAAAAAAAAGATATAAAAAGAAATATAAAAGAAGTATAAAAAGAATATAAATAAAACAAAATATATAGAGGGAATCTTTTTCCATAGAGAAGATATCAAAAATATATTACAATAAATTGGTAAATGAATTTTCACTTGAATTCATCTTAATAATATAGAATTAGAAGAAACTAAAATAATTAAAGAATAAAAAGAAAGGAATTAGACTATATTTATAATAATAATAAAGATTTCTAAGATCTATATCAATATTTATAGATATTGTCTTTATAAAAAGTAAAATAATAAAGAAAGAATAAATAAATCAAAGAAATTATAAAGATTAGCTTAGTAAAACTACTAGTAATTAATATAATTCAAGATTTAAATAAAATTCAAGATTTAAATAATTAAATAGTAAAGCTACTATTAATTAAAGAAGATTAAAACTAATAAAAGATAAAAACTAAAGTATAAAAACCAAATAACTAAATAAAAATAGAGTATAACTTATTTATAATAGAGATTTTTTATTTTCAAAAATAATAAAATAAAAAGTATGACTTATTTATAATAGAGATTTTCTACTCTTAAATTAATATTAAAAATTAAAATTAATATAACATTATAATCCAAAAATCAAAATCAACTTTGTATGATCAAAAAAATAAAATCAAATGAAAAAAAGAATACTAGTATAATTAGAAAGGAAATCTTATAAAAAGATTATTATTATTATGATAATAAGCTTTTCAATTATATTTTTCAAATAATTTAATTCAAAACTATTTATTTTAAACTGGGATAACAGATCTTTTTATATATTTTTCAAATATATAAATTATTATAATATTACTAGCTAATACTATCTAAATATATATAATATAATTAAAGTACTATAATATTAATATTTAGAGATATATATATCAAAATATATTGAAAGATATCAAAGAATATTAAAGAATATTGAAGAATATTGAAAGATATAAAAGAATATTTAAAGATATGAAAAGATATTAAAAGATATAAAAAGATATGAAAGGATATAGAAAAATATAAAAGAATATAAAAGAATATCAAAGAATATGAAAAAATATTTGTAAGCAATATTTCAAATATAACTGTTCTATCAAAATTAAAAATAATCTTCTACTATATTATTCTACTATATACATAAATATCATATTATAAAAATATAAATCTTAAATAAATATAAAATATAATATCTAAAAATAGAAATATGATAATAAATATAGTATTATATAATATGAAAATAGAAATATTTATAAAATAAATAAAAATTATAGAAAAATATAATTTTATATAACCAAGAAAAATTATAAAATTAAGAAATTTTATATCACTATGGTAATAATACTATATTTAATTTGAAAATAGACTAGTTGATATAATATATATTATTTGAATAAAAGTCTTATATATTAAAAAATTTTAATTATATAAAATTATATATAATAATTATATTTTAAATTTTAATATAATATTATTTTGATTTTAAATAAATATATATATAAGTTTTATATAATTTGTAAATATATATCAGAATATATAAATAAATTTACAAGTATTTATAATTATTATTAATTTTAAAATATATCTCTTAACTGAAAATCAATAAAATAAAATTATTAGTCTTTATAAAAATAAGTAGTTAATATTAAAAATTAGTAGATTATTTAAAGTTTATAAAATAATTATTACTTATACTATTAATAAGTATCTTAATAAAAATGATTTTGTTATTTATTTCCAATTTAAATATCTAAAATTATTGACAAATAGATATCAAAAAATTCTAAAGAATATTATTAAAAATAATAATAAGAAATTAGCTAAAGAAATTAAAAATAAATTTATTAAAAAAATTATTAGAAGAAATTTGCATAAAATATAGATTTTTTGTCATATATCTGCTTATAAATCTCTTTTAAATAATCAGTAAAGAAAATAATATCTGAAATAATATATTGAAAAAAGAAATTAGAGTATTTAAAAGCAATAATCTATCATATAGAGTAATAAAAATAGATTTATAATATTTAAAAATGATAATTCAGATTATATTTGGAAAACTTTTGGTATCAGATTTAATATTATAAATTTAATTCTAATAGTAAAATTTAGAGATGAAGAATTAATAATATGAGAGTGCTTTTCTGATAAAAAATTAGGATTATTAGTAAAAGTAAATAGTAAAAATAATAGATCTGACTATATCAAAATACTTAAAAAATATTTATTACTCTTGATAAAAAAGAATTTAATTGCAGAAAGTATTGATTTCAAGATAATAATACTCTAGTTTATATTGTTAAAGATATTAAAAAATAAATTTTAATAAATAAAATCAAAGTTTTGTCAGATTAACCAAGTTAATTTCCTGACTTGAATCTAATTAAGTATTTATGAATAGAGCTAAAAAAAATAAGAAGCAGATTACAGATAATAATAAATATCACAGAATTAGAGATAGTATTACAAAAAGAATAGAACAAGATTTCATAAAATCAAGTAATAATCTTAATAAAAAGGTATGCTATGAAGAATAAAAACTATTATTATAAATAATAGATGGCTAAAATATTAATTTATATAGTTACTTTATTAGTTAAAGTATAAACTATTAAAATTTGAAATATATAATTATTATATATAATTTTATATAATTAAAATTTTATGATATGTAAGATTTTTGTCCAGATAGTATATATATTACTCAATTCAAAGCTAAACCAGTTTCTTTAAATTCTATTAATTATAGTACTCACTATAAATAATAAAAATTAAATTTAAGCTCATAACTAATTATTTATTTATTTTGCTATTTAAAAAATAAAATGATATATTATTTGTGAATAGAAAATATATATATATTAATGGTCAATTTTTTTATTCTTTTTAATAATAATTTATTCCAATTGTACTAATATTTCTTTTATTAAATTAAGATAAAGATCTATTGAAATTGAATTCCATTCTTGAATAATTTTGTGCTAAAAATAATAGAAATAAATTTTTTTAGTAAGCTTATAAACTCTTTTTTTTACTCTTTTTTTATAATGGTCCATAAATTCTCAATTAAATTGATTTTAGAGCTATATGATAATCAATCAAGGATCTTTGAAACTTCATAACAAAGAAGATTTATTATTTTTTTGCTTTATGCTTCAGATCGTTGTCTTGTTAAAAAATCCATCATTTTGATATAACTCTTGAAGCACTCTCAAAAAGATGATTAGTTAGAATTTGATAATAAAGGGACCCATCCATGTTCTGAGTAAACAGATTGTTCCTTTTGCTAAAAATACATGCTATGCATAGACTTTTGCTGGATATTTCAGAACTTCTCTTTGTAGAATCTCTGTACTGATCTTATAGAATACAGTCATGATATTTCAGAACATCTGGAAAGTTATTTCATCAGAAAAAAACAATATTTTTCTAGTTTTGATTAATATGAGAAGAAACCCATTCCACATGACGTTCATATTGTTTTTCAATAAGCATAGGTACTGTTTCGGATGGCAGGAACGGTATCCAAGATTATTAAGCTCATGGTTTATTGTTTGGGAGAATATCTCAAGATCAGAATATGTGAATTTGAGTGAGTCAGCTATTTCTTCACAGGTAGAGTAACAATCAGAAGAAACTTGTTTTCTGAGCATATGGCATTTTCGAGGTGACAGAATTTTTGGACATCCTGAAATAGGAAAGGGTTCTAATTTATTTGTTTTTTTCAGTTGAGAAGCATATCTATACATTATAGAGAGGGGATATCAGCTAATTCAGCTAAAGTCGGAACATCACAAATGCCATTAGCCCACAAGGCTCTTATAACTGATCTTAATGGAGATTCTACCATTTGCATAAAGAAAAGCGCAAATTAAGTTAAATTATTAGCTTTTTTTAGCCACATTACGATATAAGTAAATATGAATTGAAGCTTCTTTTATTGTGAAATCCTGCATATGACATAATTATGTAATAAATTCTCATTATTTATGGCGATCACTATAAATAATAAATTGTGGAATTTTGGCATTACGGAAACATATCCATACACGGACATATTTCGTAGAATTTGTTGATGCTGTGGATCAACTAAACACCCGTCATCGCGAAACATGTTTTATCATCACGTTGATGTAATCACGATGTGAGCAACTACATGTATTATAATTTATGGCGGTGATTTGCCGAAGTGTTGAATTCTCATGCGTTTAAAGAGAAGGGAGAACGGGTTATTAATGGAAGTATGATGAGCATAGGCAGTAGCGGAAGTGGGTTTTTGACCAGTTCTAATTTAAGTGTGTCGAGATCGCTTAATGTTATTAAGGTTCATTACTCTTTTTTTTTTAGTTTGCAATGATTAATTAATGTGATTTTTATTAATTCCAAGATAGAAGAATATGATTTCGAGTTATAGATAAGAGATAGAAATCTACATGTGCCGATATTGGTAGTTGGTTCTAAAGCAGACTCGTAAAGCAAGAATTAACTGGTCGTCGACAAATACGATACTGCATTGTTGATGAATGTGGAGGTGATTGTGTTAACGTGATTGAGAAGAAAAATCAGCCATATTGTCATTATTTGTTAGATTATCTCCGTTTATATAAAAGAACATGCATTTTTCTCATATTAATAACTCTCTTAGCTGCCGAAAAGATTGACACGTTTTTCGGCAAGGTGATTGACAAGAAATTTCATCATTTACTGAGTTCAGCGTTTACCCACCAACAGCAGTATACAAGCCAATTATTAAGAGAGGGTGAGTATAATCTGAAAGTATTGAAGACATGATTAATGACAGACCATGAGTTTCAAATAAAATGCAAACTAAATTAGGTAAAATCGAGAATGGCAAAACAAGTAAAAAATGGATGGGAACAAACAAACACAAAAGTGGCATGAACGAGAGATGTTCCCTATTCTAACTTTCCTCTCGAAATCACCAATTCCTATTTCTTCCAAATTCCCACGCCGCAATTAATTCCAAAACTCTCTCAATTTCTCAAATCTTATTATTCTTCCTATGAAACGTGTACTGAACGATATCACACTCTCTCAACACTAGTCACGAACGAGTCTATTATATATATTAATTATTTATTAAGCGCTAGAACGAAACGAAACGCGATTTCATTAATAAATGACCCTCGCATGGATTTTGGAAGGATTCGAACCCTCATTCCAATTAGGAATCATCAGAGCAAAATCCCAATTTATGGAATACTACGATCTATGAGAATTGGCTAGAAACTCGTAGAAAGGATTGATTGTTTAGATTAAAAAGAATACTACGGCTACAACCCCGAGTACCAATCGATCTCTGGCCATAAACAACCAAAGCAGTTACAACAAGGTTAAATAATCAACCCTGAGGAACTCGAGTGCACTCAAGTCAGAACCAAGTCTTATTTAACGCAAAGTCAAGACTTGGAGAAACTCACGACGAACCAAAGGGAACAACGCTTAAGATTCTCTATTATAACAGGGCTAGTCTTACGTTGAAATCATTAAGGCCATAAAATAACAACAGCTATCCCTAGGAAGAGAATCTTTAAAAAGAGCCGGTAATACCAAGAAAGGATCTTTGGATTTGGCGGCCACAAACTCTCAAACCAAAAGTCCAGGGTCATTTTTACATCTTAATACGATGGAAAATATTTTGTAGAGGTGTATTTTCATCACCCTTTCAAGAGCCTCGATCAACAATAATGCCAAAAGAGGAGTCTTATTCGAGTATTATCACAGAAAAACTCTAAAACTTAGGAGTTTTCAAGCAACAAATAAGCGGTCACAACTCCCCAAACGCTTTAAATTGGTGGGTTTATTTAAAGTAAAAATGAAAACTGAGAATTTCATTCTTTCGAAGAAATATTATTCAGCCAAGAGAAAATCCTATTGCTTCTTGGTAAAGCAACACTCAGATAATCTCAAAATTAACCAAAAAAGAAACATCCGCTATCATTATCACGATGCTATACCAGAAGTTTCCAATAAAAGAAGCTAAAACAAATAAAAATTAAGAAAAGAAAACCAATAGAGATCCTTTCTTTGAACTATTTTTGAAGAACAAATACTAAGACATTATTAGCCAAGAGAAAATCCTATTGCTTCTTGGTAAAGCAACACTCGAAATTAACCAAGAAACAACTGTTATCGCTGTCACGATACTATACCAGAAGTTTCCAATAAAAAGAAGTTAAAGGAGTTAAAGGGGTAGTAACAATTTTAACTAGTTAGAAACGACTACTCCATTTTACTTTGAAAAGGAGTAAAAAGAAAAGGAGTCAAAGAATAATAAACGGGAAAGTAACAAATTGACTAGTTAGAAATGACCACTCCATTTTACTTTGAAAAAGAAGTAAAAAGTCAAGCCAAGAGTGTATTCCAAGAGAAAAACCTTTAACCTTTAACAAGAGGAAACTCTGACAAAGAAACTTAGGCGTCCCTAGGAATCTTATACACCAAAGAAACTCGAAGAAAACTCAGGTAATTTTCAAGAAACTTGGTGGCCAAAGAAACTTCAAAGAAAAAAGCCAAAGTAAAAACTCATGTGAATATCGTAACATGGGAGATTGAAAAGAATTGAAAAACCTTTATATATCAATATCTTTTCTTCCCACACTCGTCTCATGAGAGTACATTCAGCTAGGGGTATAATTTATTACACATCCTTGGAGTATAATTTATTACACAATTTTACTGGACTCTTAACTGTAATAATTTTAAATCAGGAACCTAAAATGTAATATACATCATTTGTTTGCATATATTAATAAAACGTTCCCACCGATGATCTGATAGAGGGCTGAAGAAAAAATTTACGGGGTAGATCATTAAAAAAAATGAAAAAACTATATTACATGTAATATTAACTAAAGTTTTTTTTTTACATCCTCGTTGATTTTAATAAAATTAAACGTTCATTATACAGTCAACAGTCAATTCTCGACCCTTTGCTAGCGTTTTTCATCAAGCATCCTAATGGTGATGCATTATACGTAGCAATAGTAAAAACATATCTATGTGAAACCCCAGTGATTTTCAACATGTTCAAATGACTCATATAGCAGATCATGCCAAAACTATGTTAAAACTTTATCGGAATGCCCATAAAATTTTGCCATAGCGATAGCATCAGGTGAACACGCACGATAAACAAAAATCTTTTTTGCAACGATAGTTATTTATATCACCATTTTTTCCCATCCACACGACACAAAATTATTGTATAAAAGCAAATAAAATAATATACATACAAGATGCAACACTCGGAAGGTTTTGCCGAAAATGTACCTCTTAATGAATAATAACCTCAGGAAGACCACTGGATACATTTTTACTTCCAGCGAGAGATCCGATAACTCTCCATTGTTCTCACCTCAAATTCTGATAATTTAAGTAGTGAAAATATTGCTAGCACGAAATTAATTATTAAAAATGCTAGGCAATCTTCTGTCATCAAAGATATGTCCAAGAACGATATTGATGTAACAAAGATGATTTTTCTAAGATCCAACGATAATTCAATATGAAAAACACTAAAGTGGAAGGCAAATCGAAAATGTTGGAAAATTGCTAAAGCAAATGAAAATTTGTCCGAAGAATCATCGTCAGATCGATAAAACAATTGCACACACTATTCAATATCAGAGTCAAAAATTATGCACAAAAATATATAAGCCCCGACAGTTCTTTCATCAGAAGAACTATTCCATTATCAAATTTTAGAAAAACGACCGTCGGGAATTTATTCGATCCAGATGAAGAAATTAGATACTCCAGATAAAGATCTCCGTTTTCAAATTTTAAAAGAACAACTATTGGGAATTTCTCAGATGAAGAAGTGGAACGGAGAAATCCCCAACGTTTGTTTTTCTAAATTTGATAACGGAGGTAGTTCATCATCTGAAGAGTATCTAATTTCTTCATCTACCTACGTTATCAGATTTTCGAAGAACGAACGTTGGGAATTTTTCAAGATCCAAATGAAGAAATTAGATACTCTTCAGATGAAGAACTTACTTGCGTTATCAAAAATGATCGTTGGAATTCATCTGAAGTTACTACCTCCGTTATTAAATTATAAAAAATAAGCGTTAGGAATTTCTTTGTTCTAGATGAAGAACTATCTTTGTTTTCAATTTAGAAAACAACTGACCGTTAGGTGACATATTTAAAAGGCAGTAAAGGAGAATTAGACCAACAACCGACTATAATGAATAAACTTAAAAGTTGATAGCAGTAACTTCAATACGCTGACATATTGTTTCGAACTCGAAAAAGGTCGAAAGAAGTCAAATTCGATTTGTTCGCTGATTTCCTTTCTCTATGAGAATAGCTTAATGTCATAAGAAAATTTGTGATTGCGATGGCAAAATCGATCCAATTATAGAATTATGCAATGAATGGTATATATTAATTAAAAGAGTATTTATTTAAAGGTGATGGTAAGGAAATTTTTTTCATTAGTACTAACCCTCACTGAACATATAACAACGTTGCAGCTACGAATACTTATAAGTGTGCCTTTTGATTTTTGACCTTTTTCTGATTTTTTTGGCGAATTTGAGTAAAGTAAGCTGAAGTATAAATAAGGACTTTTAATATAGAAGTGCATTCATTATTCTCATGTTCACTGCATGTCAAATTTTATAGCTTAAACATGATTCTATTCACTTGCTCTAATATAAGATTTCTTTCTTAATAGACCATCAATTACAAATTCCTAGCCCCCATTATAATAGATCGTAGATCTGAAAAGATGTCTCATATGAATAGATAATCTGTAATTTTTAGGCCGCCCTTAACAATATTTAGGAAGCTAACAGAACCAGTCAATAAATATATATTCTGTTTCTTGGAGTAGGTTTCTGTCAAGAGCAGTCTGTTGGTCCTCCATGCTTTACATGGTCTTCGCTGTCAGACCGTTCAATAAACGTTTAAAGATTCTTTTCGGTATCATAAGAATTACAGATTTGGCTTTTCTTGCGGTCGACCAACCTAGAAAAGCATCATCAGATACTTATGATTGCCGTTTCCTGCCTATGCTATTGTTGGTAATCGTACTTTTCCGTATCAAATAATGCGATCTTATATGAACAACTTTTTATAGTAAAGGTTCAATTCATTCCATGATCACTTCTTCCCCAAGCCATCCTATTTATTCACTGCATCATCTTTATTTTTTTAGATTTTGTTATGCACCTGCAAATTTAAGTGTATAAGATAAATATATAATAAGATTAAGAAATTATTTTAATAAATTTTTAAAAAATTTTCATTTTCAAAATTTTATTAAAATAATATAAATATGATTTCTTTATAAAAAATCTATGATTTATATATATTTATTATTTTATAATTGTTCACTTTAAATAAATTTATTAATACTATAATATATATATGAATTTATTATTAAAATTTTACTAAATTTTTTAATTTAAAAATTAATTTAAATAACTTTTTATAAATATTTAAAATATATATATATAAATTTTTATATTATTTAAGTAACTTATTAAATTCTAATTTTTTTGCAATATATTATATATTTTTTTAAATATATATTAAATAATTATATATAAAATTAAAAATTAATAAAAATAATAAGTTAATTACAATATATAATTTGTATTAAATATTTTTAAGAAATTATAAATAATTTATATAATTTAATATTAAAATTCTACTTAATATTTATAAGAAATTTATTTTACTAAATATTAAAAATTAATTTAAACAATAATAAAAAATATATTAAAGAAAAAATTTTTAGTTAATTAAAAATAAATTGAAATTAATTTAGATACTTAAAATAAATTAATAATAAAAAATTTTAAACTTTTATTTAATTTATTAATTTTATTAAATTAAAATAAAATAATTTATATTCTTTAATAAATTAAAATTTCTTTTAAATAAAGATATAAGCTAATAATAATTAATTATTTTATAAATATAAAAAAAATATTTTTATTTTTAAAATTAATTAAATAAAATTTTTATTATAAGTTTTATATAATAATAATTCATATATTTACATATCAATCTCTTTCTAATTATATCATAACTTTCATTATCATTAATAATTCATATATTTATACGTCAGCATCTCTCTAATGATACCATAAATTTCATTATCAGTAATAATTCATATATTTACACGTTAGCCTCGCTCTAATGATATGATAAATTTCGTTGTTATTAATAATTATATATTTACACGTCAGCCTCTCTCTAATGATACCATAAATTTCATTACCATTAATAATTCATATATTTACACGCCAGCCTCTCTCTAATGATATCATAAATTTCATAATTCATATATTTACATGTCAGCCTCTCTCTAATGATACCATATATTTTATTATCATTAATAATTTATATATTTACACATCAGCTCTCTCTAATGATATCATAAATTTTATTATTATTAATAATTCATATATTTATATTAAGCCTCTCTCTAATGATACTATAAATTTTATTATCATTAATAATTCATATAGTTACACGCCAGCCTCTCTCCAATGATACCATAAAATAACTTTCATTATCAATTAATAATTCATATATTTATACGTTAACCTCTCTCTAATGATACCATAAATTTCATTATCATTAATAATTTATATATTTATATGTCAGCCTCTCTCTAATGATACAATAAATTAATAATTCATATATTTACATGTCAGCCTCTCTCTAATGATATCATAAATTTCATTATCATTGATAATTTATATATTAACATGCCAGCCTCTCTCTAATGATATCATAAATTTCATTATCATTAATAATTCATATATTACACATCAACCTCTCTCTAATGATACCATATATCATTAATAATTCATATATTTACACACCAACCTCTCTCTATGATACCATAAATTTTATTCTTATTAATAATTCAAATATTTACACGCCAGCCTCTCTCTAATAATACCATAAATAATTCATATATTTACACATCAGCTCCTCTAATGATATCATAAATTTTATTATCATTAATAATTCATATATTTACACGTCAGCCTCTCTCTAATAATACATAACTTTCATTATCATTAATGATTCATATATTTACACGTCAGCCTCTCTCTAATGATACCATAAATTTCATTATCATTAATAATTCATATTTACACGTCAGCCTCTCTCTAATGATACCATAAATTTTATTCTCATTAATAATTTATATATTTACAGGTCAGCCTCTCTCTAATGATACCATAACTTTCATTATCATTAATAATTCATATATTTACACGTCAGCCTCTCTCTAATGTTACCATAACTTTCATTATCATTAATGATTCATATATTTACATGTCAGCCTCTCTCTAATGATACCATAAATTTTATTCTCATTAATAATTTATATATTTACACGTCAGCCACTCTCTAATGATACCATAAATTTTATTATCATTAATGATTCATATATTTACACGTCAGCCTCTCTCTAATGATACCATAAATTAATAATTCATATATTTACACGTCAGTCTCTCTAATGATACCATAACTTTCATTATCATTAATAATTTATATATTTACACGTCAGCCTCTCTCTAATGATACCATAAATTTCATCATCATTAATAATTCATATATTTACACGTCAGCCACTCTCTAATGATACCATAAATTTCATTATCATTAATAATTCATATATTTACACGTCAGCCACTCTCTAATGATACCATAACTTTCATTCTCATTAATGATTTCATATATTTACACGTCAGCCTCTCTCTAATGATACCATAAATTTTATTCTCATTAATAATTTATATATTTATACGTCAGCCTCTCTCTGATGATACCATAAATTTCATTATCATTAATAATGTCGTTTATGGAGGCATTCACTTGTACATAATATATTCTTTTAGAGCGTAAATAATGCTACTTCATTACATCGTAGCGTTATTTATAAAATGATTGGTTTACTATATCTTCACTTGATCAAATTTGCTTTATTTCTTTATATATCATCGCACGAACTTAATAAAAAAACTCGTTAAATCCTACTGTATATTGGATTTAAAATGCTTGATGCTTTCATATTATTAAGGATATACGATAGAATTGCGAACACATTATTAATGAACGTTAATGCGAATTGAAATTACTAAAAAAAAATAGAAGTGCGTAGTGAAAATAGGACGACTTAGGGAGGAAGTGATCTTGGAAGGAACCGAACCTTCACTTCAAAAGAAGCTGTCCATACAGATCGCATCATTTGGCGCAGAAAAGACTGCACCATCAGTAAAGAAACTTATTGATCTTAAAGATCTTGTTGAAAGCCTTCAAATAGACTGTAAATTTACCAGATTCAAGGAAATTCTTGTCTCCGGACAGCCTGAGACACCTCAAACTAGACAAATTAATTTCATAGTCCTTGGATCATTACCCATCCTGTTCCAAGATGAAATAATGTCGCACCACACGGGGCACTGCGATTACTTTCAGCAGCGTAGACAGGAAAATCATTTCGCTGATCAATATCCTTCACATTCTAGATAGGAAGGCTTCAAGTCTAGTTTAAACTACTCAGAGGTTCGCATAAGATGCCAACAATTTCCAAATAAAACACCCTCGCAAATGAGTGCATGGGCGGACCACATAGTGACAGCCAAGCAAAAATGCTTTACAGTCATAAGTAATCCGACGATTTTATCGAATTTACAACTTAAAAAAATTGATAGAATATATATATAAATTCCATACTATCCCAAACTTTGTAAATATGACGAGATATAGAAAAATTAAATCAACTCCATCAATCCAGCTAACTTTGCTTCATTTATATAAGGCATATTAAGCTTTTCCGCAATAAGCAAAACATCTGATCTAATTTGACTATCACTAACATCAAAATTCCCGATAATTGGCGCAATCATCTCATGTAAGGCTAATTTAAAAAATTCCTTTGCTTTATCAACTTTTGCCGTAAGCGTATATGAAATAGCCAATAAAGAAGAAAGTCGAAACGAAATATGAAAAAGATTATGCTTTTTTGCCAGGTGATGCAATTGCTCAAGAATGGTTATGGATTTTGTGAATTTTCCGTTTATATGATATGCAATAGATAGCGCGTATTTGACATCCATTAACGAGAAATCCAGGTCGTAATTTTTAGGTCTGAGAGATTCAAACTCCTCAATTATACTTTCTAATTCTGCAATCAATGAATCAAGCAAAACTCTTTCAAACTGAAGTGGTGTGTCAGAGTCAAAGCGCTCCTGGATCTTTACGCGTAGCTGCTTTACTTTGTTTGATTCAGCTCGCCCCAATTTGCAAAGACGACATTGACAATTTATGCCAAATTGTTGAAGAGTTTTTGTACGCTTTTCAAATGGTTCTACCGGATCCATATAAGATAAAATCAATTCTTCTCCTTTTTTAATCGGGCGTTGAGCGCGCACAAACATCAAATCGCCCAAGAATATTCTATGTACATTCGTGTCGATGCACGAATGATTTAAATATGAGGGTTTTATCCATATACCAGATCCAAAGCAACCATGATCTGTTTTTTGATTAAAAATTTTCCAAAAAAATTCTGACTGAAACGCATTATAAAATATTATTTTTTCAATTCTTTCTACATTCATACTCTTTGAAGAAATTTTTTCAGAACTCGCGGTATGAATCGATTCTGGTCCGGCGTAGAGATCATAGATCTCTCGAGCAAGTGTTGGTTCAGCTCGAAGTTTTTGGACAATCGATGTAAGTAGTTCTGTACTTGTAGCCTCATTCATAATTTTTGTGCTAAAATTAATATTCATGCACGTACGAGTTTCTTGATTAAATACAATCTCAAAAGCTTTTGAAACCATTAATAGGGTATGTTGTGGAATATCATTATTTGCAACCCAACCACGACCCTTTTCTCCGACTTGTTTGATCTCGATTGCGTTGCTTACATAATCTGCATGATCTAACCTCGGCCCTCCCAGATGAACCCATTCCTTAGTTCCAAAGTCAATTTCACGTGTCTCGATTTTTTTTAAGAATTCATTAATAATTTTAATATAATTATAATTTCCATGTTTATTTTCAGAATCCAGTTCTTGAGCTTGATTTAGATATTCTTCAATCTCTTTCCTAAGTTTTTTATCCGACGCATTTACAACTTCATCTTTAAGAAGTGTGTAAAACGTGTTTACTGACTCAGCGTATCGTTTGAGATGCATCAGTGTCTTACCCTTACGAATTGCAGCTTTTAGATGTTTGGGATCAATCTTTAAAGCTGTTTCAGCGTCGTCGAGTGCTTCTTTGAATTGGCTCAAACGAAAGTGTACCTCCGACCTATTAGCATAAAGCGTCACATTTTGTGGATCTAGTTTAATTCCGTGTGAATATTCATCAAAAGCAGACACAAAATCTTTCTTTCCGAAGTATTCATTTCCACGTATACGAAAATCATCAGCCGATAAAACTTTTGATGTTTCAATCCCCGAAGTCTTAGATAACTCGATGTTTGTTTTCCATTTAACTTGGGTAAGCAATTTATCATTCGACTTTATGATCACGATCTCATTTGGATTATCGGAGCGAAGCATAGTTTGTGCGTCTTGGCCAACCTTATAATATGGGTTTTGAATTGCAAGGACGGTGCTGATTGGAAGAAATCGAGATGCTTGCTCTACTGATAAACCTTTAGGTGGAATTTTATTGACTGGAATATAATTATATAAAGCTAAAAATTCCGCTTCACCTTCCGGATCTTCAATAACCATGGCAAGCGCTGTTGACTTTGCGCATCTCGTGATTACACGACACAACAAAAATTTACCAATATGAACTTTATCAATTTGTAGTTGAGAGATCGAAATACGATTTTTAGGAACAAGTTCAACATCTACAGTATTCGCCTTTTTATTGGCAAAGTGCTGTCCGTCGTTTGGAAAGAGAATTGATTTTTGTTTCTCATACTTTCTAAAAGATTTATCCATCTTTCTAGGTTATCCAATAACTGTTGTCTGGTGCGTCTTATGGGTTGCGCCCCTAGCATAAGAGCAAAAAGTCTATTCATCATTTCTTCGATTGTAAAGTATAACAGATATTCTCACGATTATAATATCGATCGATATGATACTTTGTTGTGATTTATGGTTACATGTACATGTGATGTATTGTGTAACTAAAATTTTACGAAAAACAAAAAAATTTGAATTCAAATTCAAATTTTTCCGGATTGCCAAATTTTTTCACCCGGCCAAAATCATCAGAATTTAAACATTACTCTTTTCGTCGTGCTTGCATATAATGGGGGTTTTTCATTCAGATTATGCGTTTTCACCACTTCTCAATCGCAAACACGTTAAAATGGCGCGCAAAAAACAAGTTACAGCAACTTCTCGGGCAAAAAAATATCCCCACGATTTTTATGTTGAAAATGGCCTACTTATGTGTTATTTCTGCTGCTGTGTCATCAACCATGATATTATTACTGCTCACTTAAACACCAAAAAACACATAATGAGAAAAAGAAAAGTCAGCCGAAAATGGATTTGAACACCAACAAGGCATCGAAACAACTAAGCGAGTAGCTGAAACCAAAAAATCAGTGATAAATGAGTTTCTTAAGACATGGGTTGGCGTGAACATTCCTCTAGAAAAAGTGGATAAATTTCGACCATTTTTGATGAAGTATTGTCATGGAGGTGGTACTATTCCTACCTTGCGCCAAATTATTTGCCCAACATATATGAAGAACATGTTCAAGCCTTGCATTCCAAGCTTCAAGGGAAACCTGTCACCATTATTATTGACAAAACCACAAATTCTCGAGCTCGCAGTGTTGTAAGCACCTTGTTTTCTTATCGCAATTCAACGAAGCTTATATCAATTGATTACTTGCAAGTAGTTAATAATACTACTATTGGAATATTAGTGGTTTGAATTTTAACTGAGTGGTCAATTCCTTTTCCCGCTCCATGACTCCTTCTCGTATATATGAAAAAATGTTATAGAGATATTTTACATCCATTAATGTTACAGCTTCAACACAATGCTTGTCCTGCACATTTATTGAACTTGATCAGGTTAGTATTTATGCAATGTAATAATTATTAGAATAAATAAATAATTAATATACTTTATTTTAGTGAAGCATAGATTTTGATCACACATTTTGATAGCATAAAAAATTATTAATAAAATATCAAGAAAACTTTTATCCACTCAAAAAGTTATCATTATTTGACTCAACACGAAATTCAAGAAATTCAAGCTACCAATATAATATCAACCTTATAGTTTTTTCCTTTATCAAATGCAACTAGATGGAATTCTTGGTATAATATGACTTTTTATATTTATGATTATTTGGAGTATATATGTGAATAGCAAAAAGAAAAACAGAAATAATTAACATGATTAATCTTATTTTTAATGATTAATTGAAATTCACTTGGTATTTATTTGACATCAAGCTCAGCAATTTATTTCTGATTGAATTTTTTTTGAAGTGAATATGTTCCTCTTTTTCCTTTATAAAAGAATACATTTAACAATTAGATACTTTTATTTCAAATAATATTTCTGTCAATAATTTTGAATCTCACATTGCTTCAATAATTCTCAAATATAATTCAGATTCTTCTTTTATAATTCTATTTTTGATCAGTTTTTGATACTGCAAAAAAATTTAATGATCTCTTTTAAAGCTGTTCAAATTTTAATCCTTATTTTTCTTAATTAACTATTAATAATTGTAATATTTAGAAATATACTAGTATTATTTCTGAATAATCTAACTCTTTAATTATTCTTGTTTAAGAATAGGTAATTTATTATAATTTAGATTTAATTATAATAATTTATAATCAACTTTATATTTTTTTAAAAAAAAGTTACATCTTGTTTTTCTTTTTTAAGTAATATAATCTTTAACTATATTTGATTACCTATTTCTTTTTGGATAGCTAAAAGAAGTTTTTCAACTTTTAATAATATTCTAGTAAATAAATATCAAAATTTAAATAAAAAATTATTAAAAATTCTTAATAATATTGATCATTAAAAAGATTAATATACTAATATAAAATTAATAATAAAAATCATTCAAATTTTATTAAACTTTATAATTTTTTTATATTAAATAAAAAATAATTTAATTTTACTTTTTATACTATTTTAATTATTCTATTATACTTTTTTTTAAAAGAAGATATTTTAAATAATATTCTTGTCGATTTATAATATTAAAACTTTAAATTATGCAAACAGATTGCTTTATATTTGATAAATATATATTCTAAATTTTATAAAAATTAAATTAGTAATTATAAAGATATTAAGATTCAAAGTTTAATAATTAAATTATTTACTATATAATTTTTATATTAATTTTAATCAAATTTTATATAGTAAAATTTAAGAGATAATAATTCAAAAAGTTTATTATTAATAAAAATTTTTTTATAAAAGATATATAATAAAAATTTTTATATTTAAATAAATACCAATACCTAATAACTTAGTTAAATAAAACAGAATTAAAAATTTTATTTTGAAAAAATAGTCTATTAATATTTATCTGATATATTAAAATTTTTGCAATGAATCATATACTATATTTTAATTCTAATAAAAAATAATTACAATTTTTAATTAATAATATATAATTTAGATTAATATTAATTTTATACTTGTACTTTTTATATTACTTCTTTTAATATTAATCAAGATATAGAATTAAGTTATATATATTTTTTAATTTTTAATACTAGTTAAGATTTAAAAATTAAGTCAAATATATTTTTTTAATTTTTTATACTGATTAAAATCTAAATTTTTTCTAATTTTTTTGTATTTTTATTTAAAATTAGAAAAATAATAGTAATATAAATTATAAAATTTAAAATTATATATATTATTACAGAAAAATTAAAGTTTTATATATTCAAAAAAATTTATATATTATGATAATGAAAAAAAAATTAATTAGATTAATTTTATTTGTTAATCTAAATTCTATTCTAATATTTATAAATATTATTAAATTTGAATATTTTCAAAAATAAATAAATAGATAATTATAAAAATTAAAAAGAATTTTTAATTATTAATTATTAACTAATTTATTCTTTTTAATTATATATTTTATCTTTTCTAAACTAAGAGATTTAACTCAATTTATTATTTTTTTTAATAAAAAAATCTAATTAATATATTTAGAATTATAATTTATAGAATAATTTTTATAAGTCTTCTCTTAAAAAAAATAATATATATAATTTTATTTTTATTTTTTTTGAGATTTGCAAGTTATCTATTTTATATTGTTACGGCAAATCGGTAAGTGGGTTTTCACTTTGATTCACCCTAACGATATAGGGTTGGGAGAGACTGAAATAATAAAAGATAAAG